AAGTTGAGATCCTTTTGTCTTAACCTCCTGAGTAATTGGGATTACAGGTGTGTACTATGCGTAGCCATTTGGTTCTTCCTCTTCCTCTCCTTCTTTTTTAAGTACTGGTGGTGGAACCCAGGGCCTCACACATGCCAGACAAGCACTCTACCACGGAGCCACATTCCCAGCCCATTTTGTTCTTTTTAAAAGACATTTTTGTTCTTTGTTGAAATTTCCAATGTGTATTTTGCCTCCTTGGGCTTTGTAAGTACAGTTGCTTCACAGTTTGTCTGGTGATTTCAACATCTGATGCTCTTGTGAGGCTGTTTCTGCTGTCTGTCGCTTGTTTTTGTCATCTTATCTTATTCCTTATTTGCCTGGCATTTTTTGTGTGGGATCTCATATTAGCAACTTATTTGTGGAAACCACTTCTTCCACAGACGATTTATGTTTGTTTCCCTTAGGCTCTAGGTAACATTAAAAGTAGTTACTTTAATCAAACTCATTTAATTGTTTTATTTTAAAAAATTTTTTAATTTAAAAAAATTTTTTTTTAATATTTATTGTTTTAGTTTTTGGCAGACACAACATCTATGTATGTGGTGCTAAGGATCAAACCCGGGCTGCACGCATGCCAGGCGAGCGTGCTACCATTTGAGCCATATCCCCAGCCCAAATTTTTTAATTTTTAAAAATTTTTTCTAGTTGTAGATGGTCACAATATCTTTTTTTTTTATTTTTTTTTTTAAATTTTTTTTTAATATTTATTTTTTAGCTCTCGGCGGACACAACATCTTTGTTGGTATGTGGTGCTGAGGATCAAACCTGGGCCGCACGCATGCCAGGTGAGCGCGCTACTGCTTGAGCCACATCCCCAGCCCACAATATCTTTCTTTATTTATTTTTATGTGGTACTGAGGATCGAACCCAGGGCCTCATGCTTGAGAGGCAAGCGCTCTACCAGTGAGCTTCAACTCCACCCTCATTTTTATTTTTATTGTTGCAGTGCTGGGAATTGAACCCAGGCCCTTGGGCATGCTATGCAAGAGAGCTATCACTTTATTATACCCCTCGATGCAATTTTATAAATTGACAGAATTTTAAAACTCTTTACGAGGCCCTAATACTTGTGTTCTTACTACTAGGTCAATGACTTACCAAGGCTAAGACTAAAGTGGAAGGGGTTGCCCTGGAGGCAGGCAGTAAGGGGTATATTTTCTTTTCCTATTATTATTATTATTATTGTTGTTTTGGTTACTGGGGATTGAACTCAACTACTGAGCCACATCCCCAGCCTTATTTTGTATTTTATTTAGAGACAGGGTCTTACTGAGTTGCTTAGTGCCTCATTGTTGGCTTTGAACTTGTGATCCTCCTGCCTCAGCCTCCCGAGCCACTGGTATTACAGGCATGTGCCTCGGATCCCAGCAAGGGATGTATTTTCTGAAAGAACGACAGTGGTAAAAGTAAGTAAAAGCTGGTCCTCTTTGTGTCTGTCACCACACTGCAGTATTTCTTTTTTTGGTACTGAGGAGCTGAGTCTGCAGCATGCTAGGTTAGAGCTCTACTACTGAGCCACACCCTGGCCATTACTGTACTTCCAACCATCAATCATAAACCATTCCTCCCTGTTGGGCCTGACCACTCCCACCATTACCTTAGCATATCACTGGAATCCTGTAACTGTCCCTGTAGACTATGAGTTGGAAAAGGACAGCCTCTGCGCCAAATTCCGCAATCAGCCTGCTTTTTTGTTGTTGTTGTTTCTTCCACTTTTTTATTGGTGCATTATACTTGTACATTTTGATGAGATCTGTTTATTACATAGTACATACAAATAATATAACAAAATAATTTGGCCAATATTCCTCTCCAGCCCATTTTTTGGTAGGACATTAGTGTAAAAAAGAGTTTATATATAAGTTTTTGGAAACTTTTTTTATTGTGGTTAAATATTACATTAACATAAATGTTTTCCATTTTAACCACTGTACTGGTGCAATTTGGTAGGATTAAATATATTTATAAAGTTGTGCAATCATCATTAGTATCTATTATCACAGGTTTTACATTAAAAAAAAAAAAAAAACCGGCTAAAAACACCCAAAACCAACAGGTAAGATTATGGCACACAGGCCTAAAATGTTTAGTATCTGGCCCTTTACATTAAAAAGTCTGCTCACACTTGCTGTAGACCTAGAGAGCTGTCAAAAGCAAATGCCTACAGGGCAAAAGGATCCCATGTGTCAGAACCACCTCCCTTTCCTGTCCATCCCTTTTTTTGGAGTTGTAGATGGACAGAATAACTTTATTTTATTTATTTATTTATTTACGTGCTGCTAGGGATCGAACTTAGTGCCTCACATGTGCTAGGCAAGCGCTCTGGCACAAACTATGTCCCAGCCCTCCTGTCCACCTTTGATAGTTCGCCCCAACCTTTTTTATGGGTACTGGGGATTGAACTCAGGGGCACTCAACCACTGAGCCACATCCCCAGCCCTATTTTGTATTTTATTTAGAGACAAGGTCTCAATGAGTTGCTGAGGCTGCTTTGAACTCAGGATTCTCCTGTCTCAGCCTCCAGAGCTGCTGGGATTATAGGGTGCGCCACTATGCCAGGCTTTACCCCCCTGTTATTCAGATGTGTTCAAGCAGATGCTTCTTAAAACATATAATGTCTACTTTTTAAAACATTGTTCTCAGTGGTAGAGGTGGTCTGACTGTGTTATGGATCCTTTGTTCTCTATATCTCAAGTAGAAAAGAAGCAGGCCGAAAGTAGTTTTTAAAAGTTCTGTTATTACGTCTTTGAATTTAGATTTTGCCCTAAAAAGAAGAGGTATGTAAGAATCCAAGAAATTAGGGTTGGGGGTGTAGTTCAGTGATGCATAATATGTTTGAGGCTCTGGTTTCAATTCCTATCTCTCTCTCTCTCCTTCTTTCTCTCTCTCTCTCTCTCACACACACACACACACACACACACACAAGTCCAAGGGTTTAAAATTCCTTTATATTTTTAAATCCATGTTATCTCCTTCTCCTATATTTTAAATGACTTAAAAGATCTTGGCTAAACATGAGTGGTTCAAATTAATAGACAGTGAATAACCGTTGGATTATATGAAAAATACAAGAAGACAATCCATTAGAGAAAGGAGAAAGGGAAAAGGAGAGAAGAGTAAGAGAGAATTTGAGTGGTGTATTAGTTCCTTTCTGTTGCTATAAAAAGACACCTGAGTCTGGTTAAATTATGAAAAAAAGGTTTATTTAGTCATAGTTTTAGAAGCTGAAAATCCAAGATTACGTGGCTCTATCTGTTCAATTTTAGGTGAGAACCCTCTTGGCTGAACTGCAGTAAGTTGGATGGAATCTTGGCAAGAAAAAGAGAAATATGGGTGTGTGTGTGTGTGGCAGGGCAGGGTTGGGGATCCATAGGATGGTAAGAAAGGAAGACAGAGAATGGGAGAGGCCACTCTTTCTCTCTTTTTATAAAATTATTTTTATTTTACTTATTTATTTTTATGTGGTGCTGAGGCTCAAACCCAGTGCTTCACACATGGTAGGCAAGAGCTCTTCTACTGAGCTACCGCCCCCCATTCTTCCTCTGAGAGGCCAGCATTAATCCCCTCCAAGGGTGATGCCCTAATGGCTGAATTACCTCCCACAAGGCCCCACCTCTTAAAATTCTACCACCTCTCAACATGGTAACTTCACAGCAGGAAGGTAAAACTTACAGTACATGAACCTATGGGGGACAAATCATATCCAAACCAGAGCAGTGAGTACAGGAGAGGAGGTAGAGCAGTGGGAGGAAGTAAAGAAGAGAAAGGTAAAATAAAAGAATAAAACTTAATGTCATTCTACCAAAGCCTAGTAGCCAATGATCTCTACAAACCCAGTTTGTAGATTAAAAAAAACAAATTTTTTTTTAAAGTACTGGGAACCCAGGGCCTAACATATTAGGTAAGCAATGACCTACATCCTCAACCCTTTTAAAATGTATTTAATCTTTACTTTTTTTGCAGGACTGGGATTTTTTTTTTTTTTTTTTGGTACCGGGATTGAACTCAGGGGCACTCAGCCACATCCCCAGCCCTATTTTGTATTTCATTTAGAGACAGGGTCTTACTGAGTTGCTTAGCGCCTCGCCATTACTGAGGCTGGCGTTGAACTCGCTATCCTCTTGTCTCAGCCTCCCTAGCCACTGGGATTACAGGTGTGTGACATGGCACCCAGTGGAACTGAGATTTTAATTCAGGGCCTCCTACGTGGTAGGCAAGTGCTGAACTGTAGAGATACTCCCAGCTATTTTTTTTAAAATTTTTCATTTTGAGACAGGGTCTTGCTAAGTTGCCTAGGGTAGCCTAGAACTTGTGATCTTACTGTCTCATCCTCTCCAGCAGCTGGAATTACTGCATGCATCACTGTGCCTGGCTTCAGTTTCTATTTTTTCAAATACACCCACTCCAATTAATCCTATTCCATTTTCCATTTTTTCCATTCCTTTCCAACCATCCACTTATTTTCCTTATTGGTGGTGAAAAAGGAATTTGTTCATGCATTTCTTTGTTCACTCACTCAACAAATATTTAAAAATATCTACAAAGTGCCAAACTGTGTGGGGCACTGGGCATAGACAGCTTCCATTCTAGTGAAAGACAGTGATGGAGGTGTAGTCATAGATGCCATAACAAATAGATCTCAGTGGGTTAATACAATAAATGTCTCTTATCTGTTAAGTTTAGAGTTCCATACAGGTATTTTTGGCCCAGCCTATTTCTGAGTGCTCATTCAGAGTCATACTTCTGCTCTAAGCCCACTGGCAAGAACTAGTCACATGGCCCTGGCTAAATGCAAGGGCATCTCTGGAAAACACAATTCCCAGCATGGAGAATGAGCCTTTGGTGATTAGCAAGCTGACTGTCACATGGGGAAAGACAGACAGCTACTGAATAAACAAACTACTTATTATGTTAGAAGGTGTTAAGTGCTTTGGAGAAAAATAAAGCAGGCAAAGAAATATAGAGTCTGTAGAAATATTTTAATTTTAAATAGAATGGTGACAGAGGGGCTCACTGGAGTGAGGAGTTGAAGAAGGCAAAAGTGTGACTTGTGGATCTCAAAAAAGGCCATTGTGGCTGGGGATGTGGCTCAAGCGGTAGCAGGCTCGCCTGGCATGCGTGTGGCTCTGGGTTCAATCCTCAGCACCACATACAAACAAAGATGTTGTGTCCGCCAAATACTAAGAAATAAATATTAAAAAAAAATTCTCTCTTTCTCTCCCTCTCCTCCTTAAAAAAAAAAGGTCATTGTGGCTGTCGAAGAGCACGGGTGACAGAGGATATCAGAGAGAGGAGAGGAGGTGGACTATGTAGGACTATGGTTTCAGAGAGAGAGAGAGAGAGAGAGAGAGAGAGAGAGAGAGAAGAGAGAGAAGAGAGAGAGAAGCCTTTGGGACTCTTTAAGTAGTAGAAAACTGAGGTATGGTCATGGGTAATAGCGGGGAGAGAAGCGGGACATGATGGGGTAATTATCTGGTACTGCATGTGTCCATCAGATCAGGAGCAGAATACATCTAAGTTAATGGAGGCTGAATGGCCTGTTTTCCTATATGGCCACCTCTAGTTGTACATGGTCAGAGTGATCTGAAGAGAATGAAGGTCCGTTCACTTCAGGCTTCAGCACTCCTGTCTACCAACATCCGCTTGCCCTGGCAGCAGCTTGGTCATTCACTCAACGGATATTTGCTAAGCATCTCTGGATGTCAGGTCCTGGTCTAGGCATTGAGAGCAATAGGTTAGAGGAGGACTGTGCCCTCAGGGAACTTGTACTCTAAGGGGGCAGATAATAAACAGCAAAGACATAGCAAGATACTTTCTAATATGAGGCAGGATCCTGCAGAATGACCTGCTTTACTTAAGGCATCACAGAGGTCCTCCTTGAGAAGGTAAACCTGAAGGATGAAAAGATGATGACAGGCAGGGAATTGGAGGAACAGGATTCTGGCAGTAAGGACATGTGGGGAACTGCAGGGGAAGACAGAAGGTCAGCCTGGCCCATCTTGCAGGCTCTGGGTTTATTCTATGCATGATGGAAAGACTTTGGTAGGTTTAAGGGGAGGAGTCACAAGATCTACTTATATTTCACTAAGGTCACTGGGTTGGCCACAGGCTTAACGGACTATAAGGGAAGGGGTGGGGTGGGGTGGGGCGGCAGAGGGAAGAAGCATAGGTAATAGGGTCTTAGACAAGGATGGGCGGGGACACACACTGAAGGTAGTAAATGGGTCAGGTGATCACTTGAATGGAGCATTTCTTTAGGTCAAGGCCTTTGCAAGCAAAGGAAGATTACCAAAGAAGCATGCTTGAGAGGTCCAGTCCTTGCCCTGATTTTGTTAATGTTTACTTACAAGGTAGCTCAGATCTCATCTTTAAAGGTGCCATGTAAACACAAGACAATCATTAAATCAGTGCATACCAGTGGCTAAATAAGTGAGAACTGGGGTATGGGGGAAAGAGGACTTTGGAACTGCATTACAGAGGTCTGGGGTGGGAGGGAGCGCTGCCTAGCCCCTCCCTAGTGGCTACAGGAGCTTTGAAACTCTAAAAAACTTGGCTCCAGGCTTCAGTTTCTCAACTCATTCTGAGCTTCTCGGGAGCTCAGCGAAGCAGTGACTCAGGGGAGGTCCCTCCTCTGCAAGCCGGTTCTCAGTGGCTGGGAGTGACTCACCTGCTCCCTCCCTCACGAGTGACCCCGGGCCAATCCCTTAATGAGTCCACACCTCACTCTTCTCCTCTGGCCAAGACAATTGCCCGGTGGAGTTTTTGGCTCCCCGGGGGCAGGGCTTGTGTCTGCAACCACACTAGTTCCTAAAGAGACTTCTGGTAAGATCCAGAGGAGTGCAGAACTTTAGGGCCAACCTAGGGTCCTCCCCAAGCACCGAAACAGGAATGCAGTGGGGGCGGGGTTAACGTTGGTACCCGCGATTTCTTCTAACTGCAAAGCCATTCAACAGCATTTTGTACCGAATACTTTGATACCTCGCAGCATTTCTTTATTTGTTTTTCTTTCTTTATTTTTGGTTCTGGGGATAGAATCCAGCGCCTTGAGACATACTAAATACCCACTCTATCACTGAGATACACCCTAGGTCCAAAAGTCTTGGAGAATTTCTTCTGGACACCTTTTTGTATACCAACACTTTCTTGGGAAAATAAAAGGGGGGGAAAAAACAGCAATCAGAGCAGGTCTCCAAAGTTAGCAAAGCGGACACCGGAGGCTCTAGGAAGAGAATGTGCGTGGATTGAAGAACAAACCTCTGTTTCTGGGGGAACTTAGGCTACTGGATTGATGCTGGGGTCTCTGCAACCCTAACAGGCCAGAGTGGTGAGCCCAGCAGAACGTCCGGGTTTCAGCCGGCTCGGGTTCTACTAGCAGCGCTCCGGGTCGCCGCAGGGCGACTCCGTATCCCCCCCCCTTCCCCGCCCCCAAGCCACAGCGGCGCCCGCGCTCCACCCCTGGCCCCGCCGCCGGGGCTCGCTGTCCTGTAGGAACCAGGCAGGTGGACCGCTGCGGGAGCACCCTTCTCCTAGACCCTCCCGGGGACCCTCCCCCGGGCCCTGTCGCGCCTCCGCGCCCCGCCCCGCGCCCGCAGTGGGCGACTGAGTTACCTGCGCCGGGAAGTCACAGTCCACAGCCCGGACTCTTAACGGGGAGGGTCCCGCGGAGCCCAAAGCCACATTCCAAGGGGAGGGGTCTCTACCTCTTTAGAGGGTCGCGGATCACATTACCGGCCGAGAGGAGGAGACGGCGAGAGGCAGAGTAAACAGGGGGTAAAAGTTGCATTTAGCTTATTCTTTTTTTTTTTTTCCGGTTTTCCCCCAATCGCGCTTCGACGGCTGGTTGACCCGGGGATCCGGTGTCCGCCCAGTTCCCGCATCCCGTGGCCCCGGCACGGCTTGCCTGCACGGAGGCCCCTCCCTGCCGCGCGGGTGCCGGAGCGGTGAGCCGGGCTGAGGGCGGCCCTGGCGACCCCCGCGCGGCTGTCCCAGGGGCGGGAAGCGCGGCGGCCGGAGCCCGCGCGGCGCTCGGAGCACCGGGAGCCGGACGCTCACTTGCGTGCGCATAAATCAGTCAGCGAGCGGTCGCCGCCGCCAGCGCCAGGGAATCCTCGGGCTGAATGAATGCAGACGTGGGGTGTCTGCCAGGGCAGGAGGGCGGCGGGGCAAAGGGAACCGGCGTGGAGGCCACGGTGGGGGAAGGGAGGCTAGGACCAGGAGACAAGAGAAAAGCCCAAAGCCACATTTTTAACCAGGGGCCGATTTTGAAATGCAAACTCCCGCGGGCAGGGAGGGGGCCGGGGCCGCAGGCGCGGGGCCGACGGGCCACCCGCGGCAACTTTCCGGCGGGAGGTGCGGCCGGAGGGGGCGGCGCCGGCGGCGGGAGGCGGGAGTCGGGGGCCGAGGGGGGGAGTCACTTTAAAGGCTCTTTCTTACCCATAATGCTTTGTGGGGACGTTGACAAGTGGATCCAAGATGGCGTAGAAAGTAATGACAGGTAAGTCCTGACTTCCCCCTTCTCTGCTGCCGGGGCCGCTCCGCGAGCCGCCCGAGCCTTCTGGGGAGGGACCCTGACTCCCCTCCGGTGCCCCAGGCCCCGGGCGGCGCGGCCCCGGGGCGGGCCGGGGTCCTGGGCGGCCCGCGGCGGGGCCTGGGAAGCGGGGCTCTTCGAGGCGAGGCCCGGACGCTGGGGCTGTTTACAGCTTCTTCCCGTCCTCTGTCCCCTTCCCCTCCGCTGGGGGCCACGGCGCCCGGGGCCCAGGCCGAGGCGGGGCCCTTGCACCCCCGGGCCGGGGGCCTTGCGGGCAGCTGCTCCCGCACGGGCCACTCCGGGAGGGGGAGCCGAGCCTTGGTGCACGCTCCGCGCCTCCGGGTCGCCGCGGGGGGTGGGGAGCGTGCGGGCCTCCCACGCCCCGCTCGATTCCGCCCTAGGGGCTCGGGCTTCCACCCGGCCGGGGCGGGGGTCTCGGGCGGGGGGCGTCGGGAAAAGTGGGTCAGGGGTGCGCCCCCTCCCCCGCGGAGGGCTCAGAGCCTAGGGTTCACTTTTGCCCCCTTCCCTGCCCCCTCCTCGGAAATGCTCACCGGCCCACAAGCGCATCAACAAAAATACAAACAAGCTCTCTTCCTGGAGGTTCCTCAAGAGTCCCCTTTTCAAGGGCTCTGAAGACTGCAGCGTTTCTGGAACTTTGATTCCTCTCCCCCAGTTTATTTGAGCTTTCTGCCCCCTGGCCTTTTTGCCTTCGGAGAGGGCTGGAAGCCAGGTCTTCGGATACTTCTTGGATTGGGATCTGTGGGTTTTGTTTGCGACTCAAGAATTGCCATTCTTTTCTCCCTTACAACTTTTCAGGCAAATCATTAATATAATAAAAAGTATAACTCTAAAGGTAGTGGATTCCTGGAATGGGAGAAGGAGGAAGGTGTTGTCTTGGCTAGTTTGTACTTAATTTTGCCCCCACTTAAACTCATATTAATGAGGTTTCTTCTTTTTAATTCTTTCAAAAAAATTTTTTGAAACTAAGATCAGTCAGTGCTGACAAAAGATGAACTTTCTTATGTTTTTGATTTTTAGAGCATTTTATAATCTATTCTTTTATCTTTTTTACCAAAAGGAAATGTGTTCATTTTAAGGCAAAAGAAACATTCATTTGCAAAGCTGCAGACTGTACCATTTTTGTAACTTTCCATTTGAAATTTAGATGCCCTTTCACTTCAGACTGATAAAATGTTTGCCACTGATAATGTCCATTACTGGTATTTTACTTTTCTATTTGCCTCAGGAATTGGATGAAGTGATTGATCACTAATGAACTACAGTGCTGGTGAGATGTGTAAGGTAAGACCACACAGTTAAACATGATTTCACTTGTTTCCTTCTATATTTTAATCAACTTATAAGAGTAAGGCTGAAACTAAGTAATTTGATGGGACCATCTTTATTTTCCAAATATGTCACTCAGTCAAATGGGATATGAGCAGGGCTAGATTTAGAAAGGAAAAATGTGTCAAATATACCAATCTTTTTCAGGACTCCAACATACTCAAACATAGTAGAGTTTATCCAGAGCCAAATGTTATTTGCAGCTATCCTTGATCAGTGTCTTCTCCAGGGGTAATTATAGTTTGCCTCTTCAAATTTCTTTGTGTAACTTTAATTGGATGTCTTAATTTTGCTTGTTTTGATGTCCATTGCTTACTGTACATTGAGTGTAAGTCGTTATGTATAGGGGACTTGTGTTCCCACAGTTTGTGGGACTTTTGTAAAGAATACCCATTCCATTGGAAATGATTATTTTAGGCAAGCCAGTCACTTATTTTATTTTCTTGTGGTATTGGGGATGGAACCCACGGCCTCACACATGGTATTCAGGTGCTCTATCATTAAACTATATCCTCAAGCCCTTGGTTTTAATTTCTGAAAAATGGAATAGTACTTGTCCCTAATAATTATTTAATAATTATTTTGAAATGAAAATGATATGAAAGTGAATCCCACCCAACTTATTAGGGATAAGACTAGTTATTATTTTCTGGTCATATATGGTGTATGAATTTGTAATGTTTTATTTATTTTAACTTATCAAGCTTTGAAATTAAAGGACATTAATATAGCATGAGTGAACAGCTTACATTCAGTACTATAGAGAGGGAGAGTTTACATTTTTCATAATCAGTTTTCTCACCTTGAGAAATATCTTATTATATTTGGTTCAGAAAAATGTAAGTAATTTTGGTTAATTAATTGGTTATTGCAGGGCTTTGTCCCATCCATTAACACATCTGGGCCTCTGGACCTTAAAAGCCTCTCATGAACTTTTCGTACCTATTATAACATCTATTGAAGAAGAATAGGCTGTTTTATTTCATTTTTCTAGATTGAGATGTATAATTGACATTTTGCCTTACACATACGTGTGCAGCCACCCACGCAATCTTGGGAAAGAAAGGTGGACATAGACCAAGATTGTTTTGTAAGTGCACATGCCACATTAACTTGGGTTTGAAACTCAGCAGTGCTTATGTGTATTACATATAATTTTAATTTTTATTCTTGGCAGAACAAATGTAGATTTTTGAATTTATTTTCAATTTGCAGGTAGAAGCATATTCATGCCTTAGACTTCCCAGTTTGAACTTTTCATCTCATTTTTTTTGAAATTTACAGATTATTTTGTGGAAAGGAACCAGTGATCTGCCTTTTGCCTATAGAGATGTTCCTTTGTAGTCTGAAGCTGAATATTTAGTATTTGGTAATCTTGTATGGCTAGTGTTGTACTGTATCAGGATATTTCCATACCCTTCACATATGAAGACTGGTGGGGATTCACTTCAAAGTGAAGCACCAAACAACCTGTTACACGGAGTATTCTAAAGTGGGAAATACCATAGTATTGAAGGTTATGGTGGAGTACAAGTCTGTGTCTTTGAGCTGAATAAAGACATATCTTTTTTAGTCTGTCCTTTTGGCTGGTAAGCTAGGACACTATTTTTAGGTAAGGTTGTATTTTTTGAGAGTCAGTAAGTACAGTCCTGAACTCCTTCATCAGCTGGCAAACTTTAATTTAGCAATTATTAGCAAGAAATTTTATTTTCTATTAGCATAAGTATTCAGTTTATCTGGTCTTAATATCTGTATACATTCATGAACTGTCTAGTTTTTATTGGTGAGGGAATGATACCAAAACAACAGGAGAAATCATTTCTCCTTGCAAAGGGCCTTGTGTAATTTAAAAATTTACAGAATATTCATGAAAGGCTAAGAATAGTGCAGAGGGACCCACAAGTAAGTAGACCAGATCTTATAAATGCATCGGTGTTCTCTGTTTAAGAAATAGGGTTGGCATTAATATTGAATGCAGATTAGTCCATGATTGTCCATCAGACTATATTTAAGATCTAAATACAGGCCCACTATAAGAAATAAGGTCTTTTGCCTGTTCCAAAAATATAGAAAAAATTGGGCCAAGTTTTTCAACAAAAATTCCTCAAGAGTGGGAAGAACTGCTTATAGCAAATTATTAGGATTGCTTATTTTCATAAACTTAGGTAAATGTATTTGCAAGTGTAATTAGATTTCTAAGTAATATTTTGAAATATTTTCTAGAAATCTCATGGATGGAGAGTATGGCCAGACTAGCTTATGATTCATTTCAATTCATGGCTGTGTCAGGGTTACTTCTGTGGTATTGACTAAAAGAAGCACAAAACATAGATTGCCTTATCACTTCTAGGGTGGCTGGGATAATGTTTTAAGTCATCCTGAACCTAATAGAGTTAATATTCCTCTTTTTTAAAAGAGAGAGAGAATTTTTTAATATTTATTTTTTAGTTTTCTGTGGACACAACATTATTTTATTTTTATGTGCTGCTCAGGATCGAACCCAGCGCCCCATGCATGCCAGGTGAGCACGCTACCGCTTGAGCCACATCCCCAGCCTCAATATTCCTCTTGTTAATACTATTATAATATGAAGACTTTGTATATTTATGTAAATGCTTGTATATGTATAATATATATAAACATATATCATATGATTATTTTATTAAGGTTTTAATTATATAAAAGAAATCCAGAGTTTTCCAACCTAAAGCCAACAGTCATACCAACTTTTTTTTACTTTTGTAAATTGTATTGGGTCCATTTCTCGAAGAGCAGGAAATTGATAAACAAAGTTTTCACAGAAGAAAGCAAACAGGCAAATTCAGATGTGCCAGAAATACTTAAAATATAGCACAGAGGGCTGGGGATGTGGCTCAAGCGGTAGCGCGCTCGCCTGGCATGCGTGCGGCCCGGGTTGGATCCTCAGCACCACATACCAACAAAGATGTTGTGTCCACCGAGAACTGAAAAATAAATATTAAAAAAATTCTCTCTCTCTCTCTCCCTCTTTCCTCTCTCACTCTCTTAAAAAAAAATTAAAATATAGCACAGAAATAAAAATCACAAACATTCATGCTTCAGAATGGGTTGGTCAAAAAATATGCCATGCATTCTTTGAAGTATCTGATGATTAATAATTTTTTTAATCCAAAGCAAAATGAATATATAAACTTTATGATTTTTATTTCTGTGCTGTATTTTAGGTGTTTATGGCACATCTGAATTTTTCTATTTGCTTTGTTTTGTGGGCTGGGGCTATGGCTCAGTGGCAGAGTACTTGCCTTGCGTGCGTGAGGCACTGGGTTTGATCCTTAGCACCATAAAAAAAAAAAAAAGCTAGTAAAATAAAGGCATGCTGTCCATTTATAACTACAAAAAATTGAAATAAAAAATTTCTTGTTGTGGTAGAAATATTCATGTCAGTAGGCAATATGTGTAACTAATGAAGTGAATTTTTTTTTTTTTTTTTGGTGGTGGTGGTGGTGATCAAACTCAGGGCCTTGAATTGCAACCCCAGCTCTTAAAAATTATGTTAATGCTAAAATCATGCATGTGCCAGGTGTGAGGCTGAGAAAGGGGGATGCAAATTGGAGGCCAGCGTCAGCAACTTAGTGAGACCTTGCCTCAAAATAAAAAATAAGAAAAACTGGAAATATATGTAGCTCAGTGATAAAGGGCTCTATGAGTTCAATCTCTGTTACCCAAAGGAGGGAAAAACAAAAACAAAAACAACCAACAAAAAAACTCCATGTATGCAATGGTAAAAGAAGTTGAGTGTACCTAATTATGTAAAGTAAAAAAGGCACTCTCACAAAAAAAGTCCTTTGTTATCTGCCCTCCTCTAATTCTGCTACCTTGTGCTAACTATGGTAAAGAGCTGGGGTGTCATTTAGCTTTTGGAAGACCTCTCTGTTCTGAATATCTGAATGTATATTGTAGTAGTAAATGTAAAGTGAGAAGTTTGTAGAGATGTGGTCACTGAACTAAGAGTTGGATGCTTTGCAGGGACTATTCTGTTCTTCTTTACTCTGATGTTAAGTTGTAATGATAATTAAACTGTCAGTTTAAGATAACTATAATTGAATTATTAAACACTCAGACAATTAACTTTGTGGTCAGACTGGTAAAGTT